TGCACAGGACGATGTGTCGCCCGGCCTAATCTTGCGTCCAGATTGATGTGTTGTTGGCTGATTTTGTGGCTTCCAACAGTGCGAGTCAATAAGTTTTTTTATGAAAGGCAGAATGTGAGGTGCCGTATCACATCCTAGGCGATGGCGCTCAGGAATAATAGGTACTTACTATCAAACTGCTTCAGGGAAGGTAGAAGCCCAACAATCATCTAATGCCTTTTGAAGGCAAGTTACCACATTTTCAGGCAGGCTATTCCAATAAGGTATTACGCGACTTGTAAAGAACTTGGTCCAGCCTTACAAGACTACGTTGCAGCCTTAAACTATGTCCCCTAGTGCCGCTTGAGGGGATGTACTGGAACATGTCCTCAAACTTAAGTCCGGAGAGACAGTTCATGATCCTAAAGACTTCTATGAGATCCCCCTTGACTCTCCTTCTTGCCAGAGAGAACAGGTTAAGGTCAGGTCAGGTCAGGTCACAGGACTTGTGGCTCGAGCCAATATTGTTGTTCAGTTCCAGGACGTTGACGGCGGTGTGCCAGTTAGTCCAGTTTCTTGCAGCGGTTGGCTCCAGGGATCCCCCGATGCTACGACAGATGGAAGAGGGAGATGACTCTTCTTCAGTTTTGCGGTCAAAACCTTCAGGAGAGTTGGGTGTTGACCTCCCACTCTCGCGTCACATTCCGATCACGCCTAATGGATCAGGGCAGCAGACCCTGACACCGGCATTAACCAAGTTACAACACCGGCCGAAAGGGATGCAGAGTTCTAGTGGTAAATAGGTGTTCAGGTGATGGTGACGGCATGGGTATATGGTATGGACAGAATAGAAAGTAGTAGTAGTAGTAATGACTAAAGATTGAGAGAGTAAGTGAGAGAAAGCCGGGAATAAGGAGAGAGTGGAGCTTCCGGACAATCACTTTGGTCAGGCAACTCCTTAAGTGAAAAGGCCTCGCCATTTTAGTCCAAGTAGCACCGACACCAATTGAGCGGAACTGCTCAAATGGGATTCCTAAATCTTAACTGAAATAAAAATGGTGATTCTGATTTGGCTCTAAAGCGTCAAACCAGATTCGTCGAGGACAAGATTTGAAGGAAGCAAGAGTGGAAATAGAAAAGCTGGAGATATTCTGTTTGAAGTTTTGAGAATTTCAGCAGGCAAGCTACCAGACAGAAGAAGATCAGGTGGGAGAGGCAAGATAGTTCAAGTGAAGGAACCAAGGTATACGAAGGACATTTTAGTCCAAGTAGCACCGACAGCAATCGAGCGGAAATGCTCAAATGAGGTTCCTTAGGTGTCCATCGGTACTTTGAGGCACCTAGATGACTGGAAAACTGCAACCATAATGACCATTCACAAGTCAGGCCCTAAACACCATGTTTGCAACTACAGACCGGTAAGTTTGACCTCGGTCTTCTGCAAGCGTCTCGAGCGGACAGTTAGGGAGCAGATATGTTCCTATCTGATGGCTCGTGGGCTTCTGGTTCAAGCCCAGCATGGATTCGTCGAGAAAAGATCGTACCTAACTGACCTACTGGCATTTCCAGACGAAGTTACAAAAAGACTAGACGCAGATTGCCAAGTAGAGGTTTGCTACCTAGATTTCAGTAAAGCTTTCGACTCAGTCAGTCATCAGATTCTGGATTTAAAAATGCAGACAGTGGGGATCCTAGGCAAAGCAAGAGAATGGATTAGACAATTTCTCAGCTGTCGCACATTCATTGTGAGAGTTGGAAATTATACAACCGAACCTGAGGGAATATCGAGTGGTGTCCCACAGGGATCGGTGTTCGGTCCGCTATTATCTTTGATCTTCATTAACGACCTCGCGAAGGATCTCCAAAATCCTTGCTTCATGTTCGCTGATGATGTGAAGTTAGTTGGGGAAGGACTGGAACAGGATCTAGATACAGTCCGAAGGCGGTCGGATAAGTGTGATCTGCCACTGAATCTAGGTAAGTGTCAGCTCTTTACCACAAGAGCCAATGATGACACGAGAGGTGTGATGCATTTGCAGCATGTCTCTGAGACAAAGGATCTAGGGGTAATGATCACGACTGCTTCAGGCCATCCCTTGCAGTGTAAGCGTGTGGCTAATAAAGCTCGACACGTACTTTTCAGGTTGTGCAATGGTGTAAGTTGCAGAAGACCCAAGATTTTTGTACCGTTTTACAAAATTATAGTGCGTCCTCATTTAGAATATTTTGTACAGGCATGGGCGCCTTATTTTAAACAGGACGAACGGTGCCTTGAGAAAGTACGGCACCTAGCAACTAGAATCCTAGCAGGCCAGAAAGATAAGGGATAACTCGTTCGTTCTTATCCCCACCATTTTTATTGTCTACCTTGCACTGTTATTGTACATATGCTTGCTCTGATCATTTGATCATGCCTTGTGCATGTCTCACGGGCTCCGTGAAATATACACCTATTATTATTATTATTATTATTGAACCTGCACGGANCTGCACGGAAGCCCATCAGAAATCGAAGAGTGGGTAGAACGTATCGAATTATGGGCAGCATCCGGAAAGGAGGAATGCAAAATCAGTCTGTTCTATTTTTGACGTTGGGCGGCCAAGAGCTGTATTCCCTGGTAAAGAATCTATCGTTCCCGAATGTTCCTGCTGAATTCCCGTTCGAAAAGTTGAAATCCCTGTTACTGCACCACATCCTCCCAATGGATTTTCAGGCCACCGAACAAGCCAAATTCAACTCAATGATGAGAGCTGCCAACATGCCGTGCCGTTAATTCATTCTCCAGTTGAACAAACAGGCGTCCAAATGAAACTATAGTGACCGGTTGAAAGAATAACTTTGTGACTATTTCATTGCTGGAATCAACAACATCTCATTACGACGTAAGATGTTGCAAAAGAAAGATATCACATTTGCTGAGGCTCGAAAAATCTGTGAGCAAAGTGACGATTTGTGTGCTGCCGTAAATGCCGATACTCTTTTGTTATTCCATCGGCAATCAACGAAACCCTGACGTGACGTACCTAATGTTCATAATTCACCCCAGCTTCCTCAAGTACCCAGTCCAAGCCGAACACAACCGAAGGCTGCCACCAACCGTTGCTTTTCATGTGGTGAATACCATCTTCGTTCGACTTGTCGATTTCATAATGCCACTTGCCATGCATGCGGTAAGACGGGCCATATCCGCAACGTATGCCGAATGCCCAAGTGCAACCTTATCGACTCCCATATCCCAACGGCAGATGAGAACTCAAGACCAAACTACACGCTGCCGACCACTGAACCCAACGGCCAGTTCGTGTTCGCCACACTCAGGTTCGAGTCTGGTGTGGAGCATCGATTCATCATGGACACGGGAAGCAGCGAATCTATCCCACCGAAATCAGCACTCGCTGCAATTTGTCCTAATGTTGTTCTAGCCCCGACTTCTGTGCACATTCACGGGGTTACTGGCCGTCAGTTGCAATTACTTGGCGAAACGACGTTGTGCGTTCACTCTGAATCCGGTATGTCAACCCCGATCCGATTCCTGGTATCAGCCCACAGTCCGTCTATTCTGGGCCTTCCAGCACTGCGGCTACTACAAGGATCCATCACACTACATACCAACAACGATATGCCAATCACCCCACATCTTCTAAATTTAATCGTACAGTGTGTCCGGTAACGTTGGTGGCATGAAATTACCGTCGGTAAATTTGGAAGTGGACGGTTAACCTATTTTCCTAAAATGACGCGTCCTCCCATACGGTCAACGGGAAGGTGTCTTGAAAGCATTACAGAAAATGGAGCAGGATGGTGTGATAAGCAAAGTTGAATCCAGTACCTGGGCTACCCCGACCGTCGTGACGATGAAAAGTTATGGTAGGACACCATGGATCTGTGGAGACTATCGACTAACGTTGAATCCCAGATTGCGGAGATTTGCAGCGACCACCACAGTACCAGAAGATTTCATGAAGTCATTGCAAGGGTGCCAGTATTTTTCCAAGATCGATTTGGCGGAGGCCACATCATTTGTGATACAAGTACTAAAGAAATGTTTTAGTCGCGAAGGGATTCCACAAGTGCTTGTGACGGATAATGGATCTCAGTTCTGTGCGACCGGAATAACGATTTGGATAGACAGCATCGGTTGCAGACATCTTTGAACTGCGCCTCGTCACCCCTGTTTGAGCGGAGCGGCAGAGAATCTAGTCAACACTGTCAAGAGTGCAATTGCGTCTGCCAATCTTAAAACGCTACATGAGTTGGAAACGTTGGTGGATAACTTCCAACTCCAAATCCGAAACGCAACACATACAACCATCAAGGAGAGCCCGGCAATGCTTTTTAAATCCAGAGGCTTGCGACCCTCCCTACAGTGCATCAACTCCAGTGACGTCGTATACTTCCGTCGTAATGATTTCAGACCCGCGCCTGATATAGTCACATGACAACTGGGTCAAGCCATGGTGGAAATTACCGACTAGAATGATGCTACT